TTGGATTATTGGTGCTGCCAGCACAGCTCCAGCTCCAGCAGCACCTCCTGCAGTGACTGTCCCATCACAGCCTTCCTGGCTGCCAGGGCACTGCTGACTCATGTTCTGCTTGCCATCAAGCAGGACCCTCGGCTTTCCAGGATCTCATTCCCCAGCATGTGCCTCCATCCAGGTTTGCCCCATCCCAGCTGCAGAACCCGGCACTTTCCCTTGTTGACCTTCCTATGGTTGGGGATTGCTCCGTCCTCTAATGAGTCCAGGTCTCGCAGCAGGGCCTGCCTGCCTCTGAGGGAGACAAGAGCTCTTCCCGCTTTTGTGTCACCTGCAAACTTGCTCAGGTCCCTTCCAGTCCTGAGTCCAAGTCAATTCAGAAGATTGGAAGAGCACAGGGCCTTCGATGGAGCGCTATGCAACCCGACTAGTGACAGGTGGCCGGTGGGAAGTTCCCCATTCCCAGTGCCATCTGTGCTCAACCTGTGAACCAACTGCTCCCCCCAGGGCAAGCTGTGTTTGTGCAGCTGTGAGTGCTGGGCACTTGGTCCCGAACGATCCCATGAGAAAGGGTATCTAAAGCTTTATTGAAATGGCTCAGAGATCTGAGAGGAAGCCAAGAGGCCGGAGCTGTGCCTGTGCTGCGGTGCCACTTGTCAGACTCAGGTGGAGGCCCAGCCGGCAGGGCACTGTCCTGTGCAGAGGTTCTGCAGCTCTGCACCTCGGTGCTCACGGTCACAGGCTTTTCCTCCCAGGACTGGCCATGGGAGTGGCTGGGGCTGCCCAGTTTGGCAAGACACCCTCAGGGAGCTCCTGCCTGGTGGCTTTGCAATTGGGGCGATGATGCCCAGAGCCAAGTGATGCTGAGGGCAGTGGTGTGAAGGCTGGGGTTTGTTGGCGGTGTGATGTGTCTCTGGTGTCTGTGACATCAGAGAGGACAGGTCACAATGGGAGCTGTGCCTAAGGACAACAGCAGGCAGCCCCAGGGCACTTGGACTTGGGCGATCAGTGAGTACACATGCAGGGGGAAGGCTGGGATGGGTGGGGTAAGGGGAAGATGCCCAGGGGGGTTTGTTAGGCCTGAGCCAAAGCTGAGTCCCTCCCAGCAGGGCCGAATTGTGCCCCCAGAGAGGCTTTGGGGATGGGTGGGGTGCCCCTGGCTCCATGGGCCACTGTGGTGTGGCAGGGGTGGGGCGTTGGGAGACTCTGCTCGGCTGTTTCTTCCTTTCAAGCCTTGATCCCCATGTTCCTCCCATCCCGAGCTGCTGAGGAAACTTACCTCCCATCTCCTGCAGGCCATGGATTCAGTAATTGTGCTCGTCCTGGCTGTGCTGGCCGTCCTGCCCAATCCAACCCAGGATCCCCTGAGCGATGTGGTCACCGCACAGCGGATGACCGAGCGTGCGATTTTTCTGGAGGAGAAGATGAGTGAATTGTGGGAAGAAATCGAGTCGAGGAAGGCCCTGGCAGAAGTTCCACTCCTGTGGATCTTGCAGCACTGGCTCTTCTGGGTGGCTGCAGCAGCTGTGCTCTGCTGGCTGGCCTGGCAAAGGGACGAGGCCTGGCGCCGGCGCCGGCAGCAGGACAGCTGCAGAGGAGAGGAGGAAGGAGAGCTGAGCGGAGCAGCCGGTGCTGTCTGGCCTTTTGCAGAGCTCAGCCTGCCAGTGCCTCAGGAAGTGTCCTCCGAGGGCCAGACCCTGAAGAAGCTGGTGCAGGACCTGCTGGAGGTGTGCCAGCTGCTCTCCCAGAACACCTTCATGCCAGAGCTGCACCCGGCCACTGGCAAGCAGGGCATCATCGAGTCCTGGCGTGACCTGGGGCACCGCATCGTCTACCAGCTCTTCGTGTGCCTGAGGCCACCCCCCAAGCACTCCTTCCACCTGCAGCTGCCCAACAACAGGATGGATGGGCCAGAGAGGCGCTGCCGCGTCCGTGTGCTGCTGGAGTGCTCGTGCTCCAGGACGACGGCGAATCCCTTGTGCGTTGCCCACCCCACATCTGACGATCAGCAGTCGCCCGTCCTACGCACCCTGTGCACGGACTCCCACTTGGAGGTGGAGAAAATCACCGCCTGGGTGCAGCAACTGCTGCAGTCAGCCTGGGACCGTTTGCCTCAGTGGCGCGACTGGCAGCTCCGGGTGCTGCCCTCCTCCCACTCCTGCTGGCTCCTGCTGACCGGCCCCTGCCAGGTGCAGCTCTGCGCTGTGCTGCTCTTGGCACTGCAGCAGGGCCGCCCGGGCACCTTCCTGGTCCTGGCCTAGGCAGCCGCAGCTTTCCCACCTGCTGCTTTGGGACGGAGCTGCACAGGCACTTGGGAGCACACAGAGCCACCGCAGCACAACACACCAGTATGGTCACTGCACTAAAGTGCAGCAGCCCTGCCAGTGTCTACTCCCAACTCCCTGTTTGCCCTGCTGTGCTTTAAGCCCAGCTGCAAATGGAACACCAGCAGCCACTCACTCAACCCCCTTCTGGTCCCCGCCACCCTGATGGAACGGGGACCAGAATCCAAAGTCCACCTTTAGAAAAGTTGACTAGTCTTAACTTTAGGATACCTTCAAGAATAGGTTTAGCATTAAGTTTAATAGTAAGTTTAGTTCCTAAGTATAATAATAAGAAGAATAAGAAGAAGACGAATTAGTTTAATAAGAGATAAGGTTAATAATAATTTAGTTTTCTAAAACTCTAAACTAGAAGGTAGATAAATTAACTCCCAACTCCCGATACTGTACTTCAATCCCAGTAGCCACTCCCTCAAGCCCCTTCCCTTCCCCACCACCCTAGTTTAAGAATAGGTTGAATTAGAACTTTAGGTAAGAAGTTATGCCCAACAGAGTGGCTCACCAACAGCTGAGCAATGCCTTCCGGAACCCAGATGGGCCCCCTTCCAACTCCCTCCCCCACTTTCTAAGCTGGACGTGACCTTCTGGGGTATGGAGCAGAAAGATCGACCGGAACAGTGTGCAAAGGCACTTGGGAAAGCATCTAGGAAAGGGAGAACCGTGGGACAGTGTGAGAGAAATGTTCCAGTGCTCCTGTCTCGACCTTCAAGCATTCAGCCAGCAGGGCATCACCCACAAGGTGCCTCCATCGTCCTGGGGAGTGCTGTCGCTGTCCAAGGCCCTTTCAAGGCAGCTGCTGCAGCACTCCTGGGCCAGCAGGACAAGCCGTCAGGTTCAGAGCTGCACGTGGAGACTGGAGAGCGAAGCGGCAGAGCAGCAACTGCCCTGGGAAAGTTCTCAGGGGCAGACACAGCGCAGCTGCTCTGGATCTGCTGCCCAGAGAGCAGAAATAAAAGCAAGCAGTGATGGCACACGAGTCTTTCCCTGGTCATTCCACAAGGATATCCCAGGCGCACATCGCTTGGGATGCAGGGATTGCCCACCCACACTGGGGAGGGACAAAGCCTTCTCCTTGCTCACAGCTTGCCCCCCACGACCCCACTGACCCTTCCCAGCCATCCAAGCCCTGCCCTTCCCAAAGAGCTCACACCAAGCGGGAGGAGCCCACACGCGGCATTCCAGAGGAGCATCTTCCTAGCAGGGGGATGGGGGAACTAAAAAACCCCACACAGATGTCCCCCAGCTCTTCTGGTGTGGGAGAACTGTCCAAAGGTACCACAGAAAGGAGGACACCACGTCCTGCTCCGTGACTGCGGTGCCCGCTCCCGATCCCAGAGTCCCCTGCCAGGCTGGAACGAGGCCATCCTTGTGCTCTGTCCCACGACCTTAATTTGATGCTGGCAGGAATTGTCCTCTGAGCCAAACCAGAAATCTCTGAGACAAATCAGGAAATCATCTGCAGTGCCCCTGGATGCACCTGGCCAAGGAGGTGTTTTAGGAGATGAAACGCCCATCCCTCCCACCCATCCCATCCCATTTGTCTCCGAGCAGTGTGATCCTCCCTGCAACCCTTCTGACCCTGCTTTTTGGTCAACTTAGCCAAATCTCAGGCCACCAAAATGGCCTGAAAGAGAGGCCAAAGGGAATTGTGTCTCTCTGCATCCCACAGTGCAGGTCTGCACAGTACCTGTGGGGTTTAGGGACGTGCAGATCTTTGACTCAAAAAGGGGACATGAACTGGGTTACTGGTCAGCAAACAAACCTGGAGCTGCTCCTCTCTCACCACCAAACGAGCCCATCCTGGCACAAGAAGCCTTTTGAAGGGTGAAGAATCACAGAATGATTTGGGTTGGGAGGGACCTTAAAGACAATCTCATTCCAAGCCCCTGCCATGGGCAGGGACACCTTCCACTAGCCCAGGTTGCTCCAAGCCCCGTCCAGCCTGGGCCTGGCAACACCAGAATGGGTGAAGAAGGCAAAGACTCAACCTGGCCCAGGTGGGCTGGAAAGGGCTGGGGCACCACCAGTGTGGGGGCTTGTCCCAGGCCAGCTGAGAACCCTCCAAAAACAGTCCCAGGCAGCAGTTTGGCTGATGCCACTCCTGGTAAGAAAGACTTGTCTCCAGGGACAGAAAATGCCACGTGTGGTGACTCCAGATGTATCCAGAGATCAGAAAATGTTCCTTTGTCTTTAGGGCAGGAAGGAGATTTTCCCCCATTCCTTTGTTTTGCTCGAGCTTCACTTTTTTTTTTTTAATCTCAGAGAAGATAAAAAGAATTGAAGTCCCACCCCTACAGTGCTGCAGGCACAAAACTTCCCTGGATAAGGGCTCTTCTGCAGGGATCCCTGCAGCCACAGATTGGCATTAATGATCTGCATTTGCTTTTGGGGTTGTAAAGAAAGAAATCTGGAAATGCAATGCAGACTGTGGCTGTTCCTGTGCAGAGGGGAATGCTGCAGCTTCGTGATTCAATGCCATCTTGTGATATTTAGCATTCTCCTAAGAGGATGAACATACAATGTGAATTAAAAAAGAACCCCAAACAACAAGAAAAAAAACCCCAAGTCTGTTCCCAGTATCCATAGTTACAGAGAAAACCTGGAAACCCTGAGGCTGACGGGCTCTAAAATTTGTACCACAAAGAAATAAAATGAAAAGCTGTGACATTTGTTGCTTTTACATTTATTTTTTAACCTGTAAATGCTTCACATAGACTAAATTTTTCAGCTGAAACAGAAACTGGAGTTTTCCTTGATTAGATCCAGCCTTGTGTGATCTGAACAGAAGGTTTCCAATCTAATTTTTTTTGGCCTTTGCCTTCAGGTGGAATGGCAAAATTAGGACAAGCTCACCCAAATCAACCAGTAATTATTATTATTATTCCTTCCATGTACAGCCTGAGTACCTGGGAGCTCCTGTGCTACTTCAGAGGAAAAACAGGGGGAAAAATGCTGCATAATGCATGGGAAAAGTTTAACAGAAAAGAGGGAATTAATTTTTTTGCAAGTCAAATAATAGGTGGATGTTCCAGATTTTAAAAAAAATTATAAAAGCAGATTGGCCAAAGCAGCAGGAAGCAAAATATTGAGACCATTTTCCCTCTGACAGAGGGGCAGTGGGAGGAGGTGTCCTTGCCCAAGGCTAATTCTGCAGAGGGATTTGCATATGGATCACCTCAAAGTGAGGAGCCCACAATCTCCAGTGCTGCCCAGTATTTCACTGTCTTTACAATTTTACCAGTGTTTTACTGCCCTGTGTTTTGCAGCTGATTGAGCCAGGCTGTGGTGGCAGCTGAGCCCCACAGAGCCCTCACGGCCCGGGCTGGGATGAGAGGGAATCAGAGGGGGAAAAGTGGGAAAACTCATGGGCTGAGACCACAGAATCATGGAATGGGTTGGAAGGGAGATGAAGGATCAGCTTGCTCCAAACCCCTGCCATGGGCAGGGACACCTTCCACTAGCCCAGGCTGCTCCAACCTGGCCTTGGACACTTCCAGGGATCCAGGGGCAGCCACAGCTTCTCTGGGCAACCTGGGCCAGGGCTTCAAAACCATCACAGCCAGCAATTCCTTCCCAATATCCCATCTATTCCTGCCCTCTGGTAGTTTGAAGCCATTCCCTGTGTCCTGTCCCTCCAGTCCCTTGCCCAAAGTCCCTCTCCAGCTCTCCTGGAGCCCCTTTAGGCCCTGGAAGGCCGGAGGGAGATAAAGAATAAAGACAGTTTAATACTTAAAGCCTGGGGAAGGAGCAGAGGAGAGGAGAGCATTCCAGTGCCCACAGACTGTTCCACATCTCCACCAGCTCCCTCAGGCACCACCCTCACCCAGGACAGTGGGGACAACCCCCAGCTCATCCAGGACACACGAGGGTGTTCCCTAAATCAGTGCCAGCAGGGAGGGAACAGCTCTTCCCTATCTTTGGGATCTATGAAATGTGTGCTATCCCATCATTTATGAATTCTCTCAGTGAAGTGATTCTGGGGGCACAGCCCTGAATTTCTTCCCCCCCTCCTCCACAGACTGAAGCAGCAGCACAGGTTTGAATCGCTTCACTTACAAACCATCCCAACAAATGGCCCCAAGCAATCGCATTCCGGGGTTCAAACTGCTTCCTTGGATTCTGTGAGGGGATTCCTAGAAAACACAAGACGCTCCTTAATCGAAAAATGTTGCTGTGGTGCAACAGAGTGCAAAAGAAGAGGAATGGGAATGGTGGCAGAGGATTAAGGCAGCAGAGCAGCTGCTGGCAGAGCCACATGGTCACATCTTACCCCAGCTGTGCCCATTTCTAACACAAACCTCTGCAATTCTTTCAATATCGTTGCTTTTATTACAAGAATAGTTTAAGACAGAACAGCAAAATCTCGGCAAATTCAAGTAACTTTTAAAGTGTAATAATGAATCGATAACGAAGAGACTCCACAAGCCTCGAATGCCAAGGAACCTCTTTGCTGGTTGCACAACACTGAGGATGTGCTGGTCTCTCCCACCAACATGTGGTGCTGCACTGTAACTCCACGCTCCTGCACTCCCCCATCCAGCAGCAGAGCAGAGATTAAAAGGAAATATCTTTCCTCCCTTTGTTTTATTGCTGTCTCATCCCACTGATAACGTGGCTTTTAGTCCACTCAAGTAATCTCTACGTTTGGCAGAAACAAAACCTCCTGCCCTCCCCAATTACTGTTTATCCACATAAATCCTGTTGATTTCAGAGAGCAGAAATTAACAAATTATTAAAAAAAAATAAATACTCTTATGCAGGAAATATACTGACCCCTACAGTTAATACATTAATAATCACTTAGTTGCAGCATTAATTGCATGACTCACATTGTCTGAAGTTTTTATTTAAAAACCCCCAAACATCCAGAACACAGAGGCCACAGGGTGGGGGTGTCTGAGGCCTTCAGACACTCTGAGCTGGCTCTGACTTCAAAGGATGAATCATCAGAATCTGGTTGGTATCAGCAGAACTGGCCTGCACAATAAATGAGGCCAGTTTAGCCTTTCCCTGGAGGGGTTTCTGTCTCTTGGCTACAGGAAAATGATGCAGCTTGTCTGCAAGCAAACTTTTTGTATTATTTAAACAAAGGAAAACATATTTATACAGCAAAGGTTGTCCGAAACAGCCTCTGGAAGTTTTAACAACAGAGCAACCACTCCTTCCAGAGTTTCAGGATATACTGCAGTGAGAACAAAGACACAGAGTATTTTCTTTTTACTCTGTCCTTCCAGTGTGGATACAGCAGACAAAACCTACACACCTATCTTCCTGGGCTGTGTCCATCCCTGCCACAAAGTTAAAGAGCAGAGCAAGAATTCTGAGTGCAGTCAGACCTGAATCTGCTTGACACAGGCATCAAAATCTGCGAACAATACGAAGTTTGGGTGCAGTCACACAGGACTCACTGCTGAGGTACAAATTACTGATATTCCTGGGCTACAGCCCCATCAGAGTGTTACAGCCCCATCAGAGTGCTGGCAGCCCCTGCTGTACAATCAGATGTCTTACTTTATCCCAGCTCTAACAGAGTGAAAAGCACAACTTGTGAGAAGCTTTGCAGCCGCCGCTTCAAAAGCCCATCCTACCTTCAAGCACCGCGAGCGGGACTAGAGAGAGGCTCTTGTTTGCTTTTAATTAGGGGGTTTATTCAGTCAGAGGTCAAACTCCTGCAGTGCTTTTCTCAGGCCACGGTTGGAGCAGCAGCTCTGCTGTCAGGCTGGAGGTTGATGAGGGAGTTGCTGGCCCGGGCCAGCTCAGCGATGGAGACTCGGCCTCGCTGTTTGATGAACTGCGCCACGGCCGCCATCTCCTCCGGGGTGATGTAGATGAACTTCCCTCTGTCATCAATCACACCTAAGGGGGGGGGAAGAGAGGGCCTTGCAGTCAGCACTTCCCCACAGACATCAGTCACTGCTTTGGGAAGGGACCTTCCAGCTGCTGAGGCGGCATTTCCTATCTGGGGCAGGCAGAGACAACGTGCCAGCAGTCAGTCAGCCAGGCAGGCTTTTATCTGCCAGGGCTCAGAGCAGGGCTGTGGCAGTGGCCAAGCACCTCAGTGAGACCCTTTTTGTTCAAAGGAACACGTTCTTCCCACTGGCTGGGAATTCCACAGCTTCAGCTGCATCGTTTTCAGAGAATCATGGATTATCCTGAGCTGGAGGGGACCCACAGGGACCATCCAGTCCAACTCCCAGCCCTGCACAGACACCCCAATAATCCCACCCTGTGCCCCAGAGGATCATCCAAACCCTCCTGGAGCTCTGGCAGCCTTGGGGCTGTGCCCACTGCCCTGGGGAGCCTGGGCAGTGCCAACCACCCTCTGGGGGAAGAACCTTCTCCTGAGATCCAACCTAAACCTCTCCTGGCACAGCTCCAGCCATTCCCTGGGTGCTGTCCCTGCTCACACAGAGCAGAGATTGGAGCTGCCCCTCAGGAGGAAGCTGCAGACCCTGATGAGCTCTGCCCTCAGCCTCCTCTTCTCCAGCTGAACAATCCAAGGGACCTCAGCTGTTCCTGCTTTGGATTCCCCTCTAGACCCTTCACCCTCTTTGCAGCCCTCCCTTTTTGGTGCTGGTGTTCTGGGCCTGGGCAGCTGGTGGAGAAAGGCAGAGCAGGAAGGTCCAGGAGGGGATTCAGAGCCCCTGTGGGGCCCAGCTCAGCCTTTAAAGCTTCCCCTCTGAAAGGGAATAAAGCTCAGTTTCCACATTTCAGTTGCTGCAGCCAGACTTGAGAACAGCTCTCTCTGTTCTCACACATCACACACCAAGGCACAGAGTCCCTGGCGTGACTTTTGGGACACAGTCCCAGCCAGGGCAGTTACACATCTTTATCCTTTAATTCCAAGCACTCTGAGGTCATTTGAACAGGTACCCACACGCACCTGCCAAGGCAGTTGTTGCCCAGCCATGACCACAAGGCTCAGGTCACTAAAATGTTTGTGCTGGCACCTTCCCCTGCTTCACCCTCAGAGAGAACAAGGCTGCCCAGCACTGAACCAGACTTGTTCAGACAGAGAGCTCCCCACAGGCTCAGTCTCTGCTCACATTCCAGCTTGGACTGTGTGGGTACGTGGCTGGGAACGGGCACTTCACTTGCTCCAGCATCCTGGAGTGCTCTGGGGTGTTTTGCTTCTCCCACACTGGGCTGCAGCCCAATCCTGGGCTTCAGCCACCAGGCTGGCAACCCCTGCCAAAATTATCCCAGGGATCCTTTCAAAGTCAGATTTCACAAGACCCCATTTGCAGCTGGCTGCTCAGCAACCCCCAAACGCCCCCAGCACATGGATAAATAAATAAAATGTAGGTAAATATTGAGATATCAAGTTCTACGAGGATCCTTAGGACAGGAATGACACTGGAAATCCCTCTCTGCCACAGGGAAGGCACATCCTGCACCACCACCTCTCATCCCCTCTGTGCCTTGGCTGTCACCTGTCAAAGTGCCATCTGCCATCAGGTCCTGGATCCTGCTAATTGCATCCTGTGCAGAAGAGAAAAAAAAAAGGAACAACAAACTGATCAAAAGGGAGGCAGAAAACACTTCAAAGGTTCAGATAAACAACAAGCAGGGGTTTACATTTAATCCCTCAGTGTTAAGGGCTTCAGGGAAGGACACACACCACTATTCCCACACAGACAGATGCAATAAGCCCTTTGTTCTTAGAATTTGCTGCATTTTTTGGGTGTTCAAGTAACTTCACCACCCCAAAAGGAGACTTTTAATTACCTCTTTCACCAATCCAAAGCAACAACTTGTTGAATATATGGCTGAGTTCACTCTATGTAACAGTTCCACTACACCTTAAGTATCTAAGCCTTGCTTTCCACAGTTCTGCCTCTCTCCCTTTCCTGTGTTTGTGTAACTGCAGAGGCAAATTACAGTTTAAATTTCAGCCCTGAGTGACTCACTGCAAGCTTAAATGGAGCTCTGGATTAAGAGAGAGGCAGGGGCACAGCAGCCTGGACTCAGGGCAGCATCAGCTGCTGTGAAGGGACACCCCAGGATCAGATCAGGCACAGAACACAAAACGTGGCTCCATTTCCAGACTCCCAAACGCTGCGGGATCCATGAACCAACAGGCAGCCGTGAAAGGGCCACACTGAGCACTTTCCACTGCAACAAAATCCTGTAAGCCAACAACCCTTCCCTGCCTGGCTGGTGCTTTGATGAATTGCCACATTTTCAGGGCTGATTTTGCTGATCCTCACCAAAATCCAAGCACTTTCACTAACTCTCAGACACTCCCACAGACAGACCCTCATTTACCTGTTATCTCTCCTGCCCTTTTAAACTCATTGCTTGTACTTGCACCCAAAAGTCAGTGCTCACCTGTGTTCTTAAACCCAGATGTGAAGCCAAGTCCTCCAGCTGGATGACCTTTGTTTTCTATGGAAACAAAGCAGAGTTGCACGCAGCTGACGCATTAGCAGGTTGGCTTTTTGGTTTGTTTTTTTTTTTTTTTCCATTCAAATAAC